GGGCAAATCCCTGTGTTCACTATCGGAGTGCACCCCTGCCGGATTCGCCTGGCAATGCAGAAGACGTCTGATGTACTGTGCCCCCGTTATTAGTATTACTTAGCTCCAACATTTGCCTTACTTGATGTAAAGCCTGATTAGCCCCGCACTAGTATAGCGGGTGGATGTCGTATGTAACAGATGGCCGTGGTTGTACCTTAGACGCCACCATCCATCGTAGATTACACCAGGATTCTTTCTGGCTCACTGATTGGTTTGGATGGTTCCACGCGACGCCAATCATGTACGGTCTGAGTAGGGCTTGTCCCGTTTAGAACCATACCCCCCCCCCCCCCCCCCCCCCCCCCCCCCTCCTCGTCCTCCGCTCCCCCAATTTCCAGTCTTGTTGCACGCCCGTCGTTGCTCCATCATTTCTTCCTTTCTCGCATCATCAACGCGCTCCCCAGAAGTCTCGACTTCGACGTCTCCCGCCTCAGCCGCGGCCTCGACCAGAACCCTCGAGCGATATTCGATAACTGTTGAAAAATTAAACCAAACCAGTCTATTCACTTGTCGCTGTTGCGAACCCTTATTTCTATCCTCGTCGACGCTTATAGTTGTTATTCCCTGCAACCGCTCGCCCTTTTACTACCCACTTTTCTTCCCATCTGATTCGACCGCCACTACTACCAAGCACAACTGACCTGGGGGGAACTGACTTGACTGACTCTAACTGACATTGGCCGCCGTAACCATCCATCCCTCCCCCCTAAAAAAGGCCCAGCCACTTTCGCCTCGCCCACCTAGTCATTCCATTGGCGCCTCTTCCTGCGCGACCGAGAGCCCAAACCATCTTCCGTTCTCCGCCTTCGACCGACTGCCTCAACGGATTGTCGTCGCCTTTTCCCTTCCTCCCCTCCCATTCCATTCATCGTCCACCCCGTCGATCGTTCAGTTCCTGACAATTACTTTCACTCTGGACCGCGCCGCGAGCATTGCGAATCGGCCTTTTGCGGCCGACATCAGCTGCTGAGCTCAGGGGTCGAGGACTCTGGGAAGGCTCGCCGGACACAAGAAGAAAGGAGGTGAGTGATGACAGTTTCTTCTATCCCGTACTTTGCATTCGACGACGCGGCACATGCAACGCCCACCCACCACTGTCTTTGCGCAATGCTGCCATGCTGGAGGAGAGGCATGCTTATGCTTGACCGCCGGGCCGCCTCATTTGCACGCGCATCGTTTGTATTCGCGTCGAGCACCCACAGGACCGCCAGCACGACCTCGGCCTTGTCTCAGACCTTGGAATGAGAGCGAGAGAGGATGGTGTCATGGATGATCTAGAGGTGCCCACCGGGGCTTGTGCCAGCCCCTCGTGAGAATCGTCGTTCAATGTCTGCCTTCATCTGCTTCGCCAGGGCGTCTTTGCTAACGGGTCCGACCTAGTTCGATAACATTATGCCCGAGAAGCCACAATCACACAACCCAGCCGACGACATCACACCAGAAATTCGACAGAACGGCCAGTCAAGCCAAGACATGTCCAAAGAAAAGGTGCTCCTGGCACCGGAGGAGGGTGGAAATTCAAAGAAGGGTAGGAGCTTGCTGCATGTACCGTCTCGGTCTTCCTCGCAGCGCAATCAATCCTCTCCCACGTCGACGGGGCTGAGTGGAGCAACAGTCAGCGACTCGAGAAATAGCATCGGCGGACGCTCCAAGGAGTCTAAGAGCAGCATTTTGGGACGGCGTCGAAATGGCAGTGTTGGAAGCCACCGATCTGGCGTCGAAACCGAACCGACCAACACCCCCGGCAATACCCTACCGAACTCTCCCGTGAACCCCCCGCAGAAGAAGAAGAAGGGCGGACTGTTTGCCCTTTTTGGATGCTGCGGAGTCCCCGACAATGCAAACGCGATCGAGAACGGTGACGACGCCGTCCACAAGCTCGACAAGCTGCCCGCAAGACCGACAACCGCCAAGTCCAGGCAGCCGACCCCACAGGAGCAACAGCAGCCGTCATCATCCATCCGACCCCAAATCCAGGAAAAGCAACCTCAGCCCGAGCAACCGATGTCGATAAACGAGGCAAAGGGCAAGCGCGTCTCCGGCGCGACCACGACCGATGATACTACCGTCGGCGGCGATGTCGGAGATTCTAAACAAACCACTGCTGCCACCAGCAGTGTTGCTGCGCCGGCCATCACAGTCGAGTCCACCACTGGCCAGCGGGTGGAGGAGGAGACGTACAAGAAGGATGCCGAGGAAGATGAGGCGATGCCGGATGCGACGCCCGTGGCCGAAGTGAGGCATCAAATCCCGCCCCCGGTAGAAGATGCGCCGACGAGCCAGCAATTGCCGCCGCCTCCACCTGGACCAGCTCCGAATGCATCAGCACTCGACGATGCCGCTTTGGAATCCGAGCAGAAGTTTCTGCTGCCCCCCATTGCGCCCGAGTTCAAGGGCAGAAAATGCCTTGTTCTCGATCTGGACGAGACGCTCGTACACAGCTCCTTCAAGGTAATTCATGCTTCCCCACGAGATATCACGTACAATGTTGCTGACTGGCCCGCAGATTCTTCACCAAGCCGATTTCACTATTCCCGTAGAAATTGAGGGCAACTATCATAATGTTTACGTTATCAAGCGACCAGGCGTCGATCAATTCATGAAGCGCGTAGGAGAGCTTTATGAAGTGGTAGTCTTCACTGCGTCTGTCTCCAAGGTATATTATCCGACGCAATTCATTCCGAACAATGGCTGACCATGCATAGTATGGCGACCCCCTTTTGGATCAGCTGGACATCCACAAGGTCGTTCACCACAGACTCTTCCGCGAGAGCTGCTACAACCACCAAGGGAACTACGTCAAGGATCTTTCCCAGGTGGGAAGAGACCTGAAGGACACCATCATTATCGATAACTCTCCCACCTCGTACATCTTCCACCCCCAACATGCCGTTCCCATCAGCAGTTGGTTCTCGGACGCGCACGACAACGAGTTGCTGGACTTGATTCCCGTTCTAGAAGACCTCGCAAAGTCAGACGTCCAGGACGTCAGCCTGGTCCTCGACGTTACACTTTGAAGCTAAAGATACCAATTTCTTTTCTTCGTTCATCACCTCCGAAGAAATTTGCAGGACCGCGGTCCCATCATAGCGGAAGGCGTTTGGGTTGCGATGATTGGTTTCCAGCAGGTGTAAATGTATCACTGTCTAATCATACCTTATAATGAGCACTAGTGGAGGTAGCAGACCACCGAGCCAGCTCACAGCGGCTTTTACGCATCAAGCTCCAGGGCCACACTCAACGGGCCACAAGGATGACAACTCCATCGAGGCACCTGGGACCGGGAAGGGGGACAAAAGTATGGTACTTTGGAGCTCGGTATGGCCCGGACGGGGAGCAGTTGGCGCTCGTCCGTCATTCCGGTGATTCTTTGACGGCAGTGCTTCGGACATGCATGCGCTCAAGGAATTCACAACGAAAGATACCAGTCTGTCAAAGACCAGTCATCACGAAAAAAAAAAGGCGGCTAGGGATACCATTGGGGGGTCCATGTGTTGGAATTGGAAGGGGTCGCCCTCTACGTGGCAGGCTGTTGATTTTCTCTTTGTTCCATTCTCTATGTTGTTTGAATCGTACACCACCACCATCACCCATTCCCTGGAGTCTGCAAGCAGACGTTTTATTTCACTGCCAGTATAGTCGGCACCAGTCAAGCGGAAGAGAGAGCGAGACAGAGAGACAGAGAGAGAGAGAGAGAGAGAGCGGGAAAGAACATAGTAGTTGTGGGATAGCTTTGCGTCGTGTGTTGTATTTCACAAAGTGCTGCAGAAGCTGGCGCGACCAGTTGCAAGGGGGTTCTGCTGCGAAGAGCAGCTGCTTCCTAGACATACAGTACCCTCAAATTCAATTCAAATCGTTCAAAAGAAAAAACACAAGAAAAAGGTTGCTGTTCAACCGATGGTCAAAATGCATGTGTTGCATGACTACATGACGGGATGACCATGTCTGCCATGCAGTAAACCTGAATGGTCGCGTTAGGACGGGGGTGGAAGGCCTTGTGGAGTCTTTTTTTAGAGGAGGGAAGAGGGTGACAAACCCCATTCAGGCAGGTTCGCCGCCCCCTAGCTAGGTAGGTACGATGTAGTTAGTCAATCTACGTACCCTGGGGTCTGGAACGTCGGGTCGGAAAATCCCACTGGCCACCGCGGCTCCGCGGCGTGGTCCCCTTTCCAAAACTGTGGCCTCAACTCTGCCACTTTTGAGCGCATGTGCACCGCCCCTAGGAGCTTGAATTTCCCATCATCACGCCCTCCGACATCCACCTCCCGAAAGCCGATTCTTCCCTTCACGTCGTCTTTCTTTCCGTTTATACCGCCATTCCCAAAGTAATCCTGCAGCTATTCTTGGATCTGTTTCTCGTCACGCTCCTTCATAATGGTTAGTAAATACTCTTGTACTCCCCTGGGATAGCTTGAGCTCCGGTCGTCAATCAATTCATGTCGCACGCGCTTGTCAAATGATGCGGCTTTTGCCCGTCGTCTGCCAGGCAGCGCTGCTCGCGTTGCCACTTTGAAGCATCGGACAACAGACGGGAGCAATGGCTGACGATAGTATCTAATGACAGTCTTCCCCTCGCTCTTCCTCGCCCGTTAACGCGCCTGGCGCCGTCGCCTCCGGCGCAAGTGTCGCGCGCCCTTCGTCCCCTACCCCCCCAGGTGGCCCTCGCACTGCCATCCGTCGCCGTGCGGCTGCCGATCAGAAGGAGAAAATTGCCAATGCGCGGCCGAACAGCACGAGGGCTGCCGGTGCCGGTGGCAGCAGCAGCACCATGCTGAGTATGTCTCCCCGTAATGCTCCACGATGTGGAAGCCAAGATGAGGAGAACGGAATGCTCGTGGAGATTACTGGTATCGTTGAAGCGGATGCTAACGTGTTAGCAATACAGGACTCTACACTGACGAGTCTCCCGGCCTCAAGGTCGACCCCGTCGTTGTCCTGGTTCTCTCCCTTGTTTTCATTTTCAGCGTTGTTGCTCTTCACAGTAAGCTGCCACTTTTTTGCCTCGGCACTTTGCGCTCTCAAATGGAGCCTAGCCAGCTGATGTATTCTCTCCAGTCATTGCCAAGATTACCCGCAAATTCTCCTCTTAGAGAGTGAATCGAGAGGGCCGAGAGAGGTGGCTACGGAACCCAGCTTTGGGGCTGAAAGCTCGCGAGCCTTGAGAGAGACAGGGACACGCGAAATATGACCGTACTCCGGCGACGTCGTGACAGAGACAATGCGTGTCGACGGGCACCGGTTCGCCCTAGGACGCATGAGGAGTGACATCTGACGTTGAAGACAACATAAAAGCAACTTTTGACGATAATGTACAGTGGGTGCGTGCTTAAGCTCAAGGGATAAGGGCATTCGGTTCGAGGAGCGGGTGGCAGGGAGAAGAGCATGACTGATGCGCGCCGCTGTATTATACCTCTTTTTTTTTTCTATTACATCTCTAGTCTAGGCCGTCGAATGCGACTTCTGGAACCCAAGATGCTGTCTGCTTTGTCTTTGGTGATTCGACAAAGCCGACAAATAACATGTTAGGTTCTGAAATGGAGGACAGAACCCAGGGATGGGGACAGCGCAACCATCGTAAAACACCTGCGACTCTTGAAGTCCCTGGGAGAAGAGTGTGTAGAGCTGCTCGCATCTCAGCCTGGACTCCGCGACAGCCTATCATCCCTGTAGCGACCTCGATCTTCTTGGGAAGGTGGCTGCCCGGCTCGAGGAAAACTGGACCAGCGTCCCACAGTGGTCGCATCATCTAACAGTGTGGAGTTCATAGACAGCCCACTACCGTTCAAAGCTCCGAGCAGAGACTCAATGAGTCGGGCCATCTTGAGCGAAACGAGAAGACATGAACCTGTTGGTAACATTGTTTACGGTACTCCATGGGCACCTGATTGAGTTAGGTTGGGTGACCCATACGAAAAGACAATAACCCATAGCTGCCAAGTCCCTATTTCTTCACGGCCAAACTCCATTGGCGGAACTATGGCTGCCATCAACTCAGCTCTTCTCCACGCTTCCGCCATCCTTGACCAATCATTGTCCAAAGAACGGAGGACCTGATCAGACCCACTCCAGTACGCCAGTCCAAATAGTCTATCCTTGATAAATACAATGTCTGTGGGGTATTGTAACGGTCCACCAAGAGCAGCTTAGCTGTCTCCTCCCCTTGGTGTAGTTGGTTCATCACGTTCGACTGTAATGGTTACATTGTCATCGAAAGGTCTCTAGTTCGATTCTGGAAGGGGAGAACCTCGTCTTTTGCCTCTTGTATGTATATGTGCTAAAACCTTGTAAATGCTCTACATTGGCTCTCTCCCTGTTGTCGTTTGTTTTTATTTTGGGCTCATCTCTCTGCTGGTGCATTTTGTTCCTAGAGAAGATTCGACAGCTGTATTTAGCCTCCTCGTTGGCATTTCCATCACCTCACCGCCTCTTTTCTTATTCCGCAAGAGGGCTCCGATACCCGAAGCGACTAGTGGCTCGTCGTGATGTTTTATCCGTGTACGCCGCTGTTGAAGGTCGTAGCTGTAACCATGTTTTAGCAGCTCACATGTTGATATAGGCTATAGCTCAGCGGCGTGTTTCGGCCATTACTGCAAAACTCCGTTGGCTCGCAGTCATCCTTTCCTTTACCGCTTGCCGCGATGTGGTAAACCAATGACAGTGCCCATTAAGGAGTAAATACGGGCTCCACGCGTCCCTATGCGTAAAAAGAGGACCGACAATACGAGCATCAAGGCGCAGTTTGTCGCTGCCTAGAAGCATGTTCTCAAAATCCGCATCGTTAAGAGCCCGAGACGCGTATCGATGTACCCAGTACTGATAGGGGCCCTATTCTCCCCTCCCGTCTCTTCCTCTGTGGCTGTGGCTGTGCGGGGGTTCCATGAGACGATCCTTGCTTGAATCGTCCCAAGATCCCCTTATTGGCCCAGTAGGGCCTTGGAGTCCCCCCAAGTCCCATTGGACGGAGGCAGACGTCATAGCTGTCGCTCTCCCGGGGAGGTAAGCAGAGGCGCCCTGTGAATGCCCTGCCTGCGCGTCGCCATCCTTTTTTACTCCCTAGTGTAGTTGCTCACTGCTGCTGCGCGAGGCGGTGCATTGAATTCGGGGGGGATTTCCCCCCTACGCTGGCCTTGGAAACCTAGAGGGGAACTCGCTTGTGGCTCCCTCCCCGGCGGTAACACCCCACCACTGCCCATTCCCGCCCTCCACTGAAGCTCCGGGGTCTCGCGGTAAACTTGACCATCTCCCGATGATGAAACGGGACTGAACACTTAGGATGAGTGTTCTCGCTCGTATCTCTAATCCTTGCTGCCAATTATTTTTTCTCTTCGAGCTACACGCCCAAGCCACGTCACTGAAGAAACGCACACTTTGCTTCGCCATTCTGGTTTGCTTGCCGCGTCACTCAGCTGTGGATTCTATTGGACTTGGACGGTGCCCTTGCTGTCCACCAGCTTCCTCTCGCTACTACAACTACAAGCCTGCGGCACCTTCACCACCTACCGCGGCCTATCGTGATGATCTGATCTTTCCGCGCATACCAGAAAACTTGCTGATATCGTCGCCGGTCCTTCCACCTCTTGTTGACTGGTTGACAAGCCGACGTTCCCCGCAATGACGGGCGTCCACAAGATAGAAGCGGGCGCAAGCTCCTCTGCCCCTCCCCCGCCCTCGCGACATAGCGATATGAACCTCGACGTAACCGACAGCCAGGAAGTCCCCGATGCCCTCGTCTCTGATGGCTTCAGTTTGCCCTCCCTGGAGACAGACAACCAAGCTCCTCCCGCTTATGGCGACCTTCCCAACCAGCTGCAGTTCAGCCAGGCGGGCTTCGAAGCCGGCGCAAATGTCACTGGTACAGAACCTCCCATCTGCCCTCACTTAGACCTCGAGGCTCGCTAACACTTGATACCAGGGGACGGTCGAGTAAACATCAACATCAACCAGAGCGGCAACCGCCTTGCAGAGATCCTCGCCCCGACGTTACGAAGCCAGCTCCTCGCTGACAAGCGCCCCCAGGGCCCCCTCCCGCCCGCCTACACCCCCCCGAGCCTCGGAGGTCAACCGGGCCAGACCCCCCCGCCGCAACTCAACCTCGTCATACAAATCGTTGGCTCCCGCGGCGACGTTCAGCCCTTTGTCGCCCTCGGTAAGGTTCTCAAGGACACGTACGGTCATCGCGTGCGCATAGCCACGCATGCAACGTTCCAAAAGTTTGTCGAGGAGAATGGTCTCGAATTCTTCTGCATCGGCGGCGACCCCGCCGAGCTCATGGCTTTCATGGTCAAAAACCCCGGGCTGATGCCCGGCTTTGACACCCTCAAGAGTGGCGAGGTCAGCAAGCGCCGGAGGGGCATTCAAGAGATCCTTCTCGGGTGCTGGCGGTCGTGTATCGAGGCTGGCGACGGGCTGGGGCCACCGCCCAAGCCTCATGCCAGGAATCAGCCTTTGGATGAGAATTATGGGATACCCGGAGACCCGAACCATAAGCCGTTCGTGGCGGATGCGATTATTGCGAACCCTCCGAGTTTTGCGCACATCCACATTGCCGAGAAGATGGGCATTCCGCTGCATCTGATGTTTACTATGCCGTGGACGCCAACCCGGGCTTTCCCACACCCTTTGGCCAACATCCAGTCGACAAATACCGATGCCGTCATGACCAACTACGTTTCGTACGCGTTGGTCGAGATGATGACCTGGCAGGGTCTAGGCGACGTCATTAATCGATTCAGAGAGAAGGCGCTTGACTTGGAGCCCATGTCGCTGATATGGGCTCCTGGTGTGTTGACGAGGCTTCGGATTCCTTACACGTACTGCTGGTCGCCGGCGCTGATTCCGAAGCCGAACGACTGGGGCCGTGAGATTGATATCTCCGGGTTCTACTTCCTGAATTTGGCATCGGCATTTACCCCCGAACCTGAACTGGCTGCCTTTCTAGCCGCTGGACCTCCTCCCGTTTACATTGGTTTCGGCTCCATTGTGGTTGACGACCCCAATGCCCTAACCAGAACGATCTTCGATGCCGTTCATCGGACCGGCGTTCGGGCGCTGGTGTCCAAGGGCTGGGGCGGTCTCGGTGCCGAGGATGTAGGACTTCCTCCAAGCGTCTTCATGCTGGGTAACGTACCGCACGACTGGCTGTTCAAGCATGTGTCGGCTGTTTGCCATCACGGCGGCGCTGGTACAACTGCTGCTGGTATTCAAGCTGGCAAGCCTACCATCATCGTACCGTTTTTTGGTGATCAGCCGTTCTGGGGAGCCATGGTTTCGAAGGCCGGCGCTGGGCCGGATCCGATTCCTTACAAGGAGCTTAGCGGAGACAAGCTCGCCGAAGCCATCAACTTCGCGATCAGGCCCGAGACTCAAGCCAGGGCACAAGAGCTTGGACAGAAGATCCGCGAGGAGAAGGGAACTGATTTGGGCGGGAAGAGCTTCCACGACCATTTGAATACTGATGAGCTCAGATGTTCCATTGAGCCCAGCCGAGCGGCCGCTTGGCGTGTAAGGCGGACAAAGGTCAAACTGAGTCCCATGGCTGCTGCCGTTCTTGTCGATAACGGACTCATCAAGTACTCTGACCTCAAGCTGTAAGTTCTTCTGCCGATGAGTCGTGTGCCGATGACTGACAATTCGCAGCTACCGACCCAAGGAGTACATAACAGAAGGTCAACCGTGGGATCCTGTGTCCGCGGTGGCAACCTCGCTCGTGGCGGACCTTAGCAACATCGGCATGGCTGTTGCCGACTTCCCCCGAGAGTTGTTCAAAGCCAGAAGCAAAGGAGACAAGACCCCGGACCCCCCCACGACCCCGTCTCTTCCGGGGGGCGCACCTGGAAAGAAACCCTTCCAAGGAAGTGATAGCGGGTCTCTTGCGCCGAGCACGCGCGCTTCAGAATCGTCTACACAACTAGGCCTTATAGAAGCGGGCGGCTCTACGCCGACGCTTCCGCTCTCTCCGCAGCCCGATACAGAGTCCTTGGCACAATCGTATAAAACGTCGGCGGCACCGTCTATGGTGTTTAGCCCAGTAGAGACGGCTTCGATTGCTCCGAGCGAGACAGCACCGTCGGAAAACCTGTCGACGGCGCAGCCCGGGAGGCCACCCAATAGCCCCGGAAAGCGGTCTTTCAGTGAGTCCTCGCCCGTGGCTGTTGACGCAGCTGTGGCAGCTGGCACCAGCGTCAGTCGCATTGTCACCACCGGTGTGAAAACGCCAATGAATGTCTGTCTCGGCCTCGCCAGAGGTTTCCGAAACGCCCCCCGCTTGTATAACGACGACACTGTCCGCCCTCCCGAGAAGGTGACAGACTTTTCTAGCGGCGTCAAGGTTGCGGCAAAGGAATTCGGCTACGGCATGTTTGACGGTATCGGCGGATTGGTGACGCAGCCCCTGAAGGGCGCCGAGAAGGAAGGTGTTCCTGGCCTTATCAAAGGCTTCGGCAAGGGTATTGGCGGCTTGATCTTCAAGCCCGCCTCTGGTGAGTGCTGCAACTCTTGACGGGTGACTGGCACGGTCTCTAACTTTTACAGCTGTATGGTCGGTTCCGGCATATACCATGCAAGGTGTTCATGCAACACTTCGCAATGCATTCTCCACCAGCGTCCAGAATTACATCATTGCATCCCGCATGAAACAGGGGCAGATGGACATGGAGGCTGCTGGTATTGCGGAGCGCGAAGATGTCATTGCCCGTTGGAACAGCGTCAAATTTGACTTGAAGAATTTCCAAGCCATGAAGATCAAGGAACAGCGCGAGAAGCAAAGAACCGACGGAGGCCCCTATATACAAAGCCAGCCCGAGAAAAGCCTCACGCCTCCGGTCACAGGCTGGTCGCATACTCGGAAATTGACATTCGAGGAGAGAAAACAGCTGCACGCCCGCAAAGAGGCGTGGAAAAAGGGACATGTCGAGGCCATTGTACCTCCATCAAGATCTGATTCCTCGTTCGCCGAGAGCAGCACAGCCAGTGTTGTCGAAGATGAAGAGTTTGAGCGGGCTATTCGCGCATCTGTCGCAGAGACCTCTCGTGGCAACTCGCAAGAAGACGCGGCTGTTGAGCAAGCGATCAGAGCAAGCATCAACCACTTCCGCAGCAGCGGCACTGGGATCCCGGACGTGGTACCCGAGAAGCCCATGTCGTTCGACAGAGACGCGAAGCACTGGGACCAGGACCCGTTTTCAAGCGCCGAGCTGCAAATCACGGACGAAGAGTACCAACGACTCGTCGAGCAGGCGATCCAGCAAAGCATGTCTTTGCAAGCTGCCGGCGTGCACCCGGAACAAGGCTCGCACGGGGACGACAAAGAGTTCCGACGCGCCCTCGAGCAGTCCAGGATCGCTCAACATTCGGGACACGAGGAAGATGAGGAGCTAAAGCGCATCCTGGAAGAATCGAAGCGTCACGAGACCGAGGGAACGGCAGATGACGAAGAGGAACTGAGAAGGGCGATCGAGGCCTCCGAAGCCGAGCACCGGGAGCAGCTGAGCAAGGCTGCGGCGGCGAAGTCGGAGGAAGAGGTTGTGATGGAGTATGTGAAGAAGCAGAGCCTGGCCGAGGAGGAGTATCGGAGGAACGCGTTGAAGGGAAAGGCGCGCAAGGTCGCGGACGATGAAGACGACGACGAAGACCTCAAGAGGGCGATGGAGGAGAGCCTGAAGCTGAGCGGTAGGTCGGGACAGTCGAGCTCTTTTCAGTGATATAAACAAAGAAGACCGAGGGGGATGATAGATGGCACATCCGAGATACCATTTTTTTCTTTTTCTCTTGGGTTTTGCTTTTTTCTTCTTCTTCATATTTCTTTCCCCCCCCCCAGTGGCAAGCAACATGCCCAAATATGACTATTCTTTATCTTCTCACGGGGAATCTCGTGGTCGTCAAGTGTCAAACGAGCGAGTACAAACATGCTCCGCCACCCCTCGTTCTCCCGCTTGTGAATGGCCGGGAGCGGATGGGGGACGCTTACGAGCTTGGCGATGGGGCGTAGTGGATGTTGGCCCCTGTCGAGCATCATGTATGTTTCGACGTCGAACGTCATGACTGGGTGGAGAGGTGGAGGGTTGTTGTGATGATGCGCTGCTACGTCTGTGATGTCGATGGCCTCTCTCTCTCTCTCTCTCTCTCTCTCTCTCTCTCTGTGCTGTATCTCCGAGCCTTTTGCCGCCATGCAAAGAACGCACCGCGAGAGATCCCCGGCCTACGATGGGCACGACGTCCCCCGATCGGTAACTTGACCCTGTACAAGGGCTAATGTGATTGATTCGTGGGTCCGAGTAAAGCGGCTACCTGTATTGACTCAAGTCATGGTCATTCTCTCATCATGTTAGCTACGACAATTTGTTGCAAACAACGGCAGTAAAATCACTAATGGATGTATTGTTTCTCAGGCCAGTCTTCATCCGGGGAGCTGACTGGTATGGAATCACCCTATTGACACATATTTGTACACAGTCCTGCCGTGCAAGAATTACTATCACCCTTTCCTATCGTACCATTTCCTTCGTTTCTATTATTCCACTGAGCTCAACAGAAGCCCAAAGCCAAAACGTAAAGTACGGAGTCAACGTAATAACCTGTGATAGTAACCACCCATATGAACCTCTGCATTGTTCCGTGTTTCTTTTCCTCTCTTGCCTAGTGTAGCTTCTCCTTGAGGTAGATGACTGCCGCATATCCTGCGCAGCATTGAGTCGTCATTCCGTGAGAGCACCATGGGCACTTTACCGTTGTCGTAATGACGCCGCTGACCCCGAGTTTTCGGTCTTCGACCTTACCCTCAGGATTCGCCATGCACTCGTAGACTTTGCTGGGCAAGTCGTGCAAGAACTTGCAGCTGCAGCATTCCACCAGCATCTTGGCGACCGGTTCCGGATTGCCACTGGGAGGTAAAATGGATGCCCGAGATGCACGGTTGGACCGCGGGGTCCCAGCCGGGGGAGGCGGGCCTTGCATGGACATGCGCGCCTCCTCGAGGTAACCCGATGGGTTAGCAGACGTCTTGAGAGGCACAATCGATTTCCTCCATACCGCGTCCGATAACGGAGAAGCTTGAGCCGTTGTATTGATGCCCGGCATACTAACAGATGCGCGCTTGGGTGATCGCGGTGGCGGATGCGGAGCAAGTGCCCGAGGAACCAGAGGCTGATGCTTGAGCTTGGGAAGGAAACTTGTATCTAGGACAAGATCAGGGCTCGAGCGGCTCTTGGTCAAGCTTGGGTGACGTTGAACCGAACATGTTGGCTCATTCTGCATCAGCGGAGCGACATCCTCGGCCTGCCTCTGCTCCTCTTGCCTGTACTCCTGAGGACTCATGAGGGGTGCAGAAGTCACCGGTGTGGCCAAATTTGAAGACTTTGAGCTCTCTGTATGCGTGGGGGTCGGATATTCCTGGGATGAGTCGCTGTCATCGGCATCGACCACACTGGCATTCCTGCGAAACGTCTCCGCCACAAGAGCCTCCAGCTCGTCCATATGAGCCCCGTGAGTTTGGACTGGAATCTGAGGAGGGAGACTGATCCTTGGGTTCGAGACCGTCGGCGAAGACGTCAGGATGGCTGCCTGAGAGATTCTGTGCGATCTCGTGTCGTTGGAAACCAACACAGCCTCGGTGTACACTGTTCCTACTTCTTCATCCGCCTGCGGCAGCCCCTTCTCCGACTGGGGCCTCGAAGAATCCGGGGTCGTGGCTGGCGATGAAGAAGGCATGCCTTCGTCACACGAGGATATGGATGACCTATCGGTCGGGCGAGCCGATGAATCCCTCGATGGCATGGTTAATCCAGCAGTTTGAGCAAACAGCCGAGCGGGTGCAGCTTGGATTGGCGAAGGCTCATCAGTCGAGTACCTGGAGCTTGATGGAGAGTCGGGTATCACAGTCGTATCCTTTGCGGCACGCGTGAAGTAACTGGACACAGCGGGCTTGGAAGATGATGGACTAGAGACTTTTTGTAAAGCTGCTCTGGCCGCATCCCTGAAGCTCCTGACTGTGCCCCCTTTTGTGGGCTGAAGCCTCTCCCTCGGCATCGTCCTGGAAAGGGAGGGCCCTTGCGAGGTTGAACGATCGAACGACCCTTGATTGGGGCTGGCCTGGACTGGGGGGGTGTAGGGGAGACGGAAAGTGCGCGTGAAGTCTTCGGCTTGGGGCGATTGATCACTGCGAACGTTGAGATTGGTCACAGAGCCATTACGCGGCGTGAAATTGCCGGCCAGGGGACTGCTTCCGGAAGACGACGGGTGCGTACGAGGTTGATGTTGTCGATTGGCCGGAGGAGGATACTGAGATTTGGCAGATGAGACACGAACCTCATCCTTGGAGCCAGTGACGGATGGTTCCCGGCTTTGCTGGCGGGACTGGTGGACATAGCTCTCCCTCCTTCGACCTCGTTCTTGTTCGAGCACAAATTCACCCAGTGCGCTGGGAGGCTCCAGCTCGGCGTCGTCATTGTCGACGACAAGATCTTGAAGTTTTGCTTGTGCCTCCTGGGGTTTCCACTGCTGGAGGTTGCCCAGATCCGGTACAGGCGGTGCCGAAGGAGATACTAGAGGCTGGCTCCAAGATGGAATATGCATTGAGGAAACTCGTGCTGATTTTGAAGAGAAGTCGTCATCCTCACGATGTTTGTTTGTCTCAGTCTGAGGTCCGTATGAGGAAGACCGTGGGAGACTAGGGGCAGAGAAGGCCGGCGGCGTTACCTTTACCTCGGGGCCAAACGAATTGGCTCTCTGGTGCGTCAGAGAAGCCAACGGAACAGGTTTTCTAAGAGGCATGCCAGTTTCAATCGCCTGTAGCTTCTGATCAAGCTTCAAGCCGCCGATGAAACCGTCGTTCTCGTGAGGCTGAGACTGGATTGGTGACTTGTGACCAGTCAACGCAGCCTTAATTTGCATCGCCACCGAGTCGGACCGTTGCCTGGTATGCAGAAGACGATTTGGTGGAGGCGGGTCGTAGAATGCATGAGCGCTCGCTGAGCGAAGCTGGTCGTCGGCAGACGTGATCGGGCTTGAGATGGACCTCGAGGCATTGGGAGGCCGCGACGGAGGAGCCTTGCTTAGCTTGGCGGCTAGCATCTTCTTGACGGACTTGGCCTCCTTTTCGATCTGTCTCTCGATCTGTTCTTTCTCCTTCCTGCGCATCTTGGCCTCGTTCTTCTTCTCCTTCTTCTTGTTCTGACCAAAGGACTCCCAGCTTGGGGAGTGGCAGATGGAGGATGCGTCGTCAGCGGTGGGCTCCTCGGGAGCGACAATGTCCAAGAAGGTGACTGTCTTGTGCTTGTGCTCGACAGACTCCTTGGGATTTGCTTCGCGATCGATTTGCGTCTTGGTGTTTGAGGGGGGAAGCGGCACCGAGATGGATAAAGGAGGCAGGGTGGTGATTCGGCGGGAAGCTTTCATAGCCGAGGGCAGTAAGTCTGTCTTGGGGGCAGGAAGCTGCACAGACGACTCCCTCCGACGAGACTGCAATGGGACGAGAGGCTTCGCCGGCGGCTGAGCATTGATGACGGGAAAGGGACTCAGTCTCGGCGGAGACTGTGGAGGGCGAGCTTCGTTCACATGCTGCCGTAGAACTTGCTGAAACGCTAGGTGAGAAGGATGGAAGTAGGGAGGCATGGACTGGTGCCCCTTAAGACGCTCGAGCTACAAGATGAGGCATGTTAGTGGGTGGGAGCTAAGATAGCCAAATTGAGGTGGGTGCCACGGGGGTGGAGGCTTCAGGCCAGGGTTGAATCGGCGTACCTTTCGGGCATGTTCCAAATCCAGCATCTGCTGGAGGCTGTCAGGCTTGGGTCTGCTGCGTCGAGGTGCGGTCGACCCGTGTGCGGTGGCATTCGCAGTCATTGTCGGGTATCGTGACCTCGTGGCGGGTAGACTTTGATGGACGGAGTTGTGGCGTCAAAAAAATGGGGAATAGATAGTGGCTGAGGGTTGGCGCGAAGAGGATGAGGCGATGGCGAGGGAGGCGTTCCTAGCTTGTCATGATTTTCGTGGAGTTTCGTGGGGCGTTTACTAAAACAGACCGGCGAAGAAACGGCTGGATAAACTGTCTGTGACGTGGCGGAAAAGTAGGAATACGAATCGCGGTGGTGAATTAGTGGATGTTATGAGGCTGGTGGTGATGCTGAAGGAGCGGCCGAAGAAAATGGTGAATAAGCGGTCAAGAAGGGACGAGAGGCGAAGAGACGGGACGATCGAATAAACTACTGCCGAGGCAAGGGACAAGGAAGGAAAGTACGACAAAGTCACGTTGCCGTAAAACAGAATGAGGTGTTCAACGAGGGACGGTCTTGGTGATGGAAAGGAAACTTCGAAGAGAAAGAGCAAGTAGGTCGCCGGCTGGGAAGAGACCGGGGGGGGGGGGGTCCAGTGAGACTAATAATAACAAGACTTCGCGAGAAGGCAGGATACTAGAAGAGGGGGGTCGAGAGGAAGGAGCTACGGACCGGAGAACAGGTGCTGCTGCTACTGCCACCGACCCCGGCCCTCCCGAATGCATCGAGCTTATGCAGAGTGCAGAGCTTGTTTACATGGCAAGGCGAGAGACTACCTAACGTTCTCCACGACAACACGGTCAACTGGATGGCAACCAACTCAGGTCAGCATTGGGGGGACAGTCGAGTTACCTTACGGTCAATGCCACCATGCATCGTTCTATACGATCACCGGGTACAGGGAAGGGCCACGACTATGGCCACGGCTTAGAGTTGGGCGGGACATAAGACTGTGCGGACGAATAGGCTGGCTATTGCAGGAAAGGCCCGTCCCCTTTGCTGACGACCAGACGGGCAGCTTGTCCTATGGAGGTCTGGGCTATGGTGAGATGGGATCCACCGTCTCCGAGCATGTCTGAGGTGAGGACCGTTTCCAAGAACAGGTACAGCAGGCCGGAGGTCCAGGTGGTGCAGTATCCGCTAGTATTAGAAGCAAGGAAAACCGCTGGGCAGGACGCGTCTGAGCGTGTGGTCTTTCCAGCGCGACCTGTCGAATTCGGAACGGATAGCTACAGCAGCGAAGATGAATAATGTTCCTTGCCGCGCCATGTCATGATGGGGACGAAGTAGACTAAATCGGCTGATACGAAGAAGGGCGGGCCATCGGCGCGTTGCCTGTCGTCCGTCCCGCTCCGTCATGGGTGGCGGTGTTACCTAGACGCAAAGAGCAGCGAAGGAAGATGCGGGGTGCGACACAGGATGGAGCTGCTCAATGAATGGAGCGATTGTTGTGTCGGCAGTGAATGTGTGGGCGGATGGCTGATGCCGCTTGCCATATGAAGCCGGGTGAGTTCTCAAGCACTGATGCAATACGAGCTTGGAGGTGCGCTGGGAAGAGCTCCAGCTTGGCAAGGGATCGCTGCAGGCGCCACCCCCCCTCTCCCCCTGACCCGCGCCTTTAGCGAAGCACGGGAAGCCCCCCCCTTCCCTCCCTTGGCCGATTGGCTACTACCCATCTAGGTAGTTTGCCTCGCATGGGAGTAGGGATTATCCAGGCACGCTTTCCTTTCTCTCAGTACGGATACCGGGACGGTTTTGCTTGCCAGCAGGAAAGAAAGCATGCACCACACCAAGCACAGCTCGTTTCCCCCTTCCCTCTGCCACGAAGGGATCCAACACGTGTTTCCGGTCGTTGGCCTAGGGATGTTCCAAGTACCTACGCTACCTTGGTAGGTACTCTAGCTTTAGGTACTTAGGTAGACCGGAAATGGGTATGTGGTAGGTCGGTACGGAGAAGTTAGGTAGTGTTTGGTAAGGAAGTGCCGTTCTTTTCTCTAGCTTCTTCTTATTCCTGGCCAATGTCTGAACCAGATCGCTTCTTCGCTTCACCTGAAGTTGAAGCTGTGGACGGCATGGGAAGACTTGGCGACACGACGACGTGACAGGCCTGCATCGTAGCTGTCGACTACTCCCTCTCCAATCAAGGTTATGCTTCTCGTTTTCCCCTCCCAGAGATCTCCAGCATACCGACATAACGGGAGGTATCAAACCTTCGTCCTAGGCAAACACAGATCGTGTTCTCATCGTCCCATCAACTGACAGCTGCATACCGTCCACTCGCATTCCTTACCCCACCACCACCACCTCACTGACCTGCATACCACCCACCATCGACGACCTCCCTGTCTGTCAACCCCTCTCTGTCTTGGCGCCACCGCTGCGCACACACCAGATCTCCATCCGAAAAAGACGGTGCAAGCAAGCGAGACTTGGATGCGCCAGGAATAGCACATTCAAGCCGTTTGGCCTGCAGGTGGAACAAGCCACCTCGTTGACCGCCGCCACAAGCCGAGGAACGGGCAAACAAGAAAACTCCTGGCTCAATCGATCGAAATGTCTGCGCCAAGACACCCAGTTAGCGTCATTGGGGCCAGGTTTTCTCTGGGCCGTGAGTCCGAGCCCCCCTTTCGCGCCATACTTCAGACCAAAGCTATCGTCTTTTCACGACAAAGCGTACCGCGCACAAGCAAGCCTCTGCTCGGGGCCAGCGTAAGAACGCTCTCCCAGAGATACATGGCAATTATTACTCACTCATCTCTTGCATTCGCCGTCGCCCGTCCGTCCAGTCATCTGATAGCTCGGAGAAATGGTTGACCAATCGTCGGTTTTCCAGGGCCCATGGCTTTGGGCATCAACCCAGCGCATCTGCGCAGCATAGGCGTCTCCAATTGGTTTAGTGGACCGGAATTCATGTTTGTCCGTCATACAGAGCATACTCAACCTATGAAAGCACAGAACCATGCCAGGAAGTATCCCAAACTCGTGCATGTGGTAAGCCTGTCCTGGACCCTCTTTAACGCCAACATCGGAAATCGCCGTCCAGTCTAACCAGCCCACAAGATGCACCTTTACAGAGCACATTAACCAATTTACGCATAAAGACAGCTAGGACTGGTTTTCGCTCGTCCTCTGCTCATTTCGCCGCATATGCTCCTCCACGGACTCACGTCTCGGACTCACGTGCATCCAGACCTCGTTGCCCTCACCCCAGTTGATCAGCCCCGAAGGCATCCCCGATCCTTGGCCCTCCCTGAGCAGCACCCGCCTCTTGTGCCGCACCCAGCTCTTTAGCCGCAGCGTCGCTTCATTGTTCACCTTGAGGCGGACGGCGATCCATCGATCGTCGGGGCGGTGGTCATGCGTCGCCACACTAAGTGGTTCAGAGGGCGACTCGGTCGTTTTGAGAATCTTCTCGTCAACCCACGTGCTGTACTTTGTCTGCTCCGGCGGTAGGGTGATCTTGAGGAACTCGAGTGACGGCGATATCGTGAGATAAATGGCTCTCAGGGGGTTGACCAGAGTCTTCATCAGCAAGTCCATCCAGGTCGAATACAGAATGGCGAAGTCGGTCTGGGAGAGATGGGTCGATCCACGGATCGTCATCATCCATGTGAGTGCATCCTCTGCCCGCGCCTCCTTGCAGATTTCGACGAGCCTATCGAAGTTTTCCTGCCAGTGCATAAAGGCCTCAGATCCTATTGACAGGAGCGGCTTTTTGATGCGATGTCGAGCGTCGTCTCCCGCCTGGGGCGTGGCCGGCCCCCATGCATCGAGGATGATGCCCTGCCCGACCCAGGTGAGCGACTCCGTCCTCAAGGTTTCAACAGTGGTTGCCCCGCCGAATGAGTGGCCCATGATGGTCACGTTGTCAAGGAACATCCTGTCCTTCCAGTCCTCCCACATGACCCCCGTCAAGCCTTTGGAACTAGAGGCGACGTTGCCCTTTCTTCTCAGATTCATGGCTTCGACCTCGTGTCCTCGGCCGCTGTTGATGTACTCAAGAATGAGGTACGCCTCCTCCATTTCCTTCATCCTCATCTCGATCTGAGCAGTCCTCAGTTCGGTGTCGACTCCGCGAGCGTTGTGCGGCGCCGTGTCTTGGGCGTTGTCCTTGGGGAAGAGGTAGTCGACGCAGTAGTGCTGATCGCTCTGCGCGCCCTTGTTCTTCTTGTTCTTAATCTTCTTGGTGCTCACGCTCTTGATGTATGCCTGGGCCACTGAGGAGTCGCTGTCGGACACCTCTCGACTCTCGGTGAGGTTCACATAGGTCCTGGCACCGCTCCCATCCCGATGCTCAACGGCAACGACGATGAATCCATAGCTTGCCAGCTCTCCACAGATGGAACTGTAACTCATCCGGGAACCCCCGAGGCCGTGGCTGAAGATGATAACAGGGAATGTCGGCTTGGTGCTGGAACTCGACTCCTCATTACGCGCCGCTCGCCCGGCCGGCCCTTCGTCGCCCAGCATATCCTCCGGCCAGTGTTCCGCAAGCCTTGCATTGCGCAACGCCGGGAGCTTGGTGAACATGGACGTGGAGGCGATGTAGGCAGTTACCGGCAGGTTGGGAACGCTAAAGAACTTTGCATAGCCCTTGCAGGTGAGGACTCGTGGGCGCGGAAGCCAACCGACCCGTGAGAGCTTCGGTCCCTTTTCTCCGGTCTTCTTCTTCTTCTTCTTTTCCTTTCCCCCGTGGCCGTGCTCAGGGGCGATGTGGTCGTCCGGCTTGGTCTTGAGAGCGCACGGGTAGTAGACGGCGAATAGGACGGTGTCGAGCCTGAGCAACGGCACATTGTCGCGCCTGAGCTCGGAAAAGACACGTGGATGGCGGACTGGCACCTCGATCTCGATAAAACCCACACCGTAAGGCCCTGTGTAGTAGGGTAGCGAGTGGAGGAAGCGTTCCCTGAACGTCTTGGGCGGGTGCGTCGCCGACCGTTTTTTCCCGTCCTCGGCTGAGGCCTTCTCCTCTGATACCATCGTGAGGTAGGGCGATGTTGCTGTGGCCCCGAAGCCAGTTCAGAAGACGACGCAGTGGGGAAATCTTCGTGATCGCAATGAAAGCCCTGGTGTTGATGTCGTCGATAGGGAGGGGGTAGTCGGACGAGGGGACACAGAATGGAGCTGAATATAGATGTCGCACCAGGGGCCATGGCGGCAACGCAGGAATGTGCTGAAGGGAGAAATCGGAATCGAGGAGGGGCGTGTGCACGAGGTCAGGGTCTGAAGTATCAGAAAGAAGAGAAAACGTGAAACCGGCAAGCCCAGCAAGAAAGGACTGACGTCACGATTGCCTTTTACCCCGGACTTCATTTCTCCCACTATCCACAGGGGGTGTATTTCCACGGAGGTGCGGATTGTTCTAAGGGGCAGAGGAAACCTTACAATTTCGTAAAGAGATTGAAAAAGAAAAGGGGAAAAAAGAAAATAAAGAGGATGCCATCTGATTTGTCCCCCCCTCTCTCTCTTTCTGCAACGAAGGGGAGTGTTTTGGTTCTCAACAGGGAGGGGGCCGTCTCAGTGAGCGAGACATCTGTCTCCACACGTGTTGCTGTGTCTGTGAGCGGCATGTCGACTTCGCTCCCCACCCCTTATCGACGCCGGCGACACAAAACATCTTTCGGCGACTTTCCTGATCAACAATGACACGATGACGCGAAGCCTGCCTCTCTAGCTCCGGTCCAACTGCGGGTTATTCTAAACTTTGGTTGGGAAACTGGTTATTCAAAACACTGTCGTACTGCCACAGCTCCGGCTGGAAATCCATGGGCAGCCGCCAGTCGGCAGCCATGTTTACAAAACCTGGGAAGAATTGGGTCTCGTCAGGTTGCGTCGGCCCCCCTACGATGCCCATAAAGCCCTGCTGCTGCTGCTGCTGCGGCGGCGGCGGCGGCGGCGGCGGCGTGCCAGACATGGAAAGGGTCGTCATGGAACGCAACATGTCGGTAGTGCCACTATTGATACCGCCACTACCGACCAGTCCAGCTCCTCCCATAGGGGATGAGAAGGCATCCACGGGTATCCCCGCCGTTAACGGAGCGGCTTGTTGGGGCTGTTCGGGAATGGGCGAGGGCCCGAGGGGGGCGGGGAGCATGTGCGGCGGCAGCGTTGGGGTATTCGCCAGGACGGAAGCGGCGACGTCGGCTATGACTTTGATGGTGTGGTACGCTATCACCGACTGGTGCAGCGGGTCGTACTTCTCGAAGAAGCCGATCACGTTGCGAATGAGCTCAAGATCGCGATGCGCGCGGGGGTTCGTCCTGTTCTGGATGATGTTGACAAAGAGGATGTCTACGCTCCAAGCGACTTGATACAGTAGATACCTGGACGACGGTGTCAGCGAGTTGCGACGCGGGCCTGTCATGTGAACCCGTTTACTTACGGTGTGAACACATGTTCAATCTGATGGTAATTCAAGAGCGAGATGGAGGCGCGCGACGCGCTCACGCACAGAGCAAGACTCGGGCCTATGTCGATGGTTTCTGTGCCCTCCTGATCCCCCAGCGAAGGCAACCTGAAAGCGGCCGAGTGGATGGCCACGATGAGCTGGAAGTATGTGAAGTGGAGCACTGTCAGGCCCAGCATCCTGTAATAGTCGCCGTCTAGCAGCGCTTCGGCATTTTCGGCGCGGATCATGGGGGGGATACTCTCGCGCCACTCCTGCAGCTCGGCATCCAGGCGGCGGATCTCGGCCTCGAGCTCGGCGGGCGGCGCGTCGATGCGGTGGTACAGCGCAGCTGCAATGTGACCCTGGATCTGGGCGAGGCGGACCTGCTGGCGGAAAAAGTTGAGCGTCACACCGTCAGGGTAGTAGTACATGCCGTAGCCGTCTGCCGGGTGCTCCTCGGGCAGGTCGAGGAGGAAGTCGTCGCCGATGAGCGGGGGCTTGCCCATCCGTAGCATGAGGTCGTGGTCGATGATATACGCTCGCCAGAAGAGGCGGCGACGGTGGAGGCGGTTCACAGGGTCGATCTGCAGGTCTGGGTGGGATGGGTAGTTCTCGAGGCGGTGATAGCCCGCCATCATAAGGAGCTGTACAGTGAGGCCCATGAGACTCATGGAGATGTGATTCTCGGACGTGAAGTTGAAGTACTTGACCTGCGGGGATGGTCAGTCGCATTTAACAAGTTGGCCAAGAGGCGATTCTCTTGAAAGTCGCTTGGGCTCACGGTCAACAAAAGTGCCCCTATTGTCATGGGCGTCGGCGTGCGTAGGATGATGTTGGGAACCATCCCGAGGGCATTGTGGATGTATTTTTGGTACTCCTCCTTGTTCCGCATACAATTCCTGTTGCGGATAACATGTGCGATGATGGCATTGAGGGCCATCAGCCAACCTGGGTCGTCAGGAGGCTGACCTTGAGTGTGGGACCGTAGCGCGTCTCGCAACTCGTGGTCCTGGAAGAGCCGGATGCTGACGTTCCACGTCGCGAGAAACTCTGGTATCTGAGTTCAGCGACATTTTCTGCATTTACGACGGCACCGCCTGTCACGGATGGGGCATATAGCATTGGTGCAGTGGCTTACCGTTCACGTAGTCTATGATGACATGGTCAGGAGGTAAGGGGTGGTTCAGATCGGCAAGGCTCAAGAATGGTTTTCGGTGTAGATCTACAACCTTTGTCCGTAGACTAAGCAGAGCATTGGTGAATCTAGCGTCTCCAATGAGAAGCTCAATCTGGGCCAGGCCTTGCGTTGAAAGCAGAGAGGAGGCGCCTGGTGAAAAACGACTGTCAGCTGAGATGATTGTGCATAGGATGGATACTTGAGAGGACGCAAGGTCATGTTCAGTACCTGCTGCGATAACCGATGTGTCATCAGCGGCGCCGATATAGTACGGCCTTGACTTTATCGACGATGTGGCCGACGGCGGCGAGGGACAAGAGTCCGGGTTACCTGACGAAGGGCTCGTACTGCTGGCCTTTCGCCTCGGCAAGGGAGACTGCTGTACCGACGACGGCGTTGCCGACGGTCGGGGCGACACGGTTGCTGATGCCTCCTGCTCTGGCTTTGAGGTTTGGAGCTCCTCCACCAGCTTCTCCATCTGAGCCAGTCTCGAGACTACATCTTCGTAAAGTCTGTTGGACCCAACGACATGGCGAGTGTGTGTCAGCAGGTAAGCCAAGCATGGTTGGGGATAAGGGCCACATGAACCAAACCCCTCCCCCTCTCTCTTATCCTCTCACTCTCGCTCCATGGTATGTGAGATTGAAGGTGAAGGAAGGATGGTGACTGGCGACTTACGGTCTCTGGCGGCGTCCTGAAGAGCGACGGCCTTCGGGCCAGGCGCATTCCAAGCCGTATCTGACGCAGTTGGAACAGACTGGTGTCTTGTGATCACATCTAATCTGTCGTTTCGGTGACGAGTCATCTCATCAGTTAGCTGCTCATCTATCCCGCCAGTTTGTCGGGCCATGTCCCCTCATCCTGTCTCTCTTTCTCTCTTTGTTCTGAATATTGGGAATCCAGAGCATGCTACCGACATCATGCCAGGGGGGGAGGAAGATCAGCCTCTTACCTTACGGCGCCGGCATGGAGTGCAGGCCAAGGGGCGCGGCCTCGGAAGTGTGTCGGACCCGTGGTTGGCCGTTTGTCCGTCTGGTGGTGAGTGCTGGTGCGCTTCGGGGCTCTGCTCCATACTTTTTTCGGGGGGGAGGTGGGAAAGATACGGAGCTTTTTTTCACCTTTTTCCTTTTTTTTTTTATGTGCCACAACAATCGGGCGCCGCTGCAACCGCAGATGCAGCAGAGTATTCCAAGCGAAGCGCGATGGCGTTTACGGGAAACTATGGGGAGATGGACTGCAGAACCCGGTTGGACACTCGTGGATTGGCGAGGTGGTGATTGGTGTAGAGAGAGGAAGCCCCAAGGAAAAGGAATTGGTTGAAGCACGGTGCGCTGTCTGCTTCGGGGACCATCGCCGACGGCGATCCTCAGGAGGGCGGAAAGGCGGAATGGCCGAATTTAGGGCGGAAAGGGACGTGAGGTGAGAGGGAGAGGGAGAGTGAGACAAGACTCAGAGTGGGAGTGTGAGTAAGTAGCTCTCCATCCTTTTCAGCCCGGCTTTTTTTACGTGTCTCGTGTCAGTGTCAAACAGTCAACCGTACGGTGTAGTAGTCTTCGTCGTCTTTCAGCCTTCCTTGTCCCCCATCCATCCCCTTATCGGTTGCCCGCCTGTCTGCCCGCCATTGGGAGTCAGCCGCCGTCTTTCTTATCCTCATATGCCGCCATCTATTTTATCGCTGTTCAAAATCCGCTCTGCTCTGCTCTATCCTAGGCGCTCTATTCAATTCAACTTCATCTCTCTTGCCGAAACTTTCGACGTGAGGCAAGTGGACGGTGACAAGCGACACGCGCGCGCTGGGGATTATCCGCAGCACACTGTACGTACAGTCAGCAGCCCGTGGGTGTAGTGTATAGGGGAGAAATGCGCACGTGATTAAACACTAACGACTATCTTGGTAAGTTGGATTGGGTTTGCGTCACGTTCGACTCCGCTGATGCTTGTCTGGTGTTTTAGGGGCAAAGCTTAAATCCCACACGAGAAAGTGGGGCCGATGCCCCCGAGAGTGGTGGCATCGCCGATTATCAGCACGACACCCAGATGCGACGACTGCCCGTACGAGCCTGACGACGGAATGGCCGTCACCCAATCAACCCTTCTCAGACTTGGCAATGCCAGAGCGTTACATTTGGGATTTCATCTTTTCTTCATCACAGCTAGCTACCTATAGTAAGATGAGCTTAGTGGACTATGAGTCCACCCGAACTCTAGCCATCCCCAATGTCATCTCTGCGCGAGTCAGTCGCACAAGGTTCCTGTTCCTGTATAAGACTGTACGGATAGTCGGATTCCTGATCCGCAGCAATTGAGCCGAAAAGGAGAAAGCCAAGTCATTAGTTGCGACTCCCACCGAGGCTGTACCGGGAGAATTTGCTCATCGGAAAAAAACAAGGGAGGGCATCCCAGCAGGCATCAGTTAATGGATCCATGCCCCTGGCAGAAGCCCATTCGTCGCCCAGATCTGACTGCTCTACCCCGTCTCGAGCTTAGGCAGCGGTAGCTGCCTGACCTGCGTGCGAATCACCAACTCATAAATAGAATACGAGTAATCAGCTTTCAATCGAAGCTTTTGTTTCTTTTATCTATAGTTGGCAAATCCCATGGTGGCCAAGCCAAGTCTTTGCCTGAGCGAGACATGACTGCCGTTCATGAACGTTGTCTGGTCAGAACACTGTGTCAAACGCGACAGTGATTGGTCACTCTAACAACTGGTACATGTAGCACAAAAGTTGAAGAGAACATCACGTGCCGACCGGGCTTATCTTTATCGGACCTCTTGCGTCACCTGCACATTCCGCCTTCGCAGGCAGTTTGTTATGAGTTCCATCGCATCAATACAATCTTCCAGCACAACCTTCATCAGACAGTTTATATCATTATTTTCAAGGTTTCAGCCGAGGCTGGTGGTTCATCTGAACTCTCATTGCCAAGAGAACTCTTTGACGTGTGAACTTTGACCAAGATTTCAGGCCGCTCATCTCAAAATCTTTGCCTCTATTGCGGCGACCTCGCCGTGTCGTAGCCCACATACAGTCAAAATGATTGAGCGACTGCTGAGTTTTTGTGGCTCGCAATCCCTTCTGCTGATTGATAGCTATGAGACAGGTAGACCGAGAGGACCGGTGAAATCCGGGGCCGGGGTCAGGGGACGCCAACCAGCATCTCCATCGGACTCCATCGGGCGGGTGGGTTCCCAACTAACGCTAAGGCTGCCAGCGAGACTGAGGCTCGTTATATAGTGTGTTGCACATCTCGGAAGGCCCGCCGGTGGCGGAGATTAACGTTTTAACCCCGAGAAAATGTACATACTATAATTTGGTGCCAAATCATTGGGGGGAAAGAAGAACTGGGATGTCGTGATGATAAATGCATGTTGTCTCATGCTTCTTGACCAGATAGATAAAACGCTTGAAAACTCCGGGGATGTCTAGACAGCAATGCGTGAGAGGCGGACGCCAAGAAGGTGTTAGTATCTGTCAACTGGCAGCTGTCAACGGATAAGGTACTAGTGGCTAAGTGATAACGGCATCCGTTTGCGATGCAATTGTATGTGCCAATTAATCTATCCATCCGTCCATTTGACCATTTCCCCGTCCATGCTATCAGTCGATAGTGTTGTTAGTTTCTTGCGCTTTCCTATGCTAAACTCCAACATAGACGATATCCAAGTAACTGAAGGGCATCTTGGGCCCGCCAAGCCACACATCGATCCGGCAGCATCTTTTGAGCGACGCCTTTTCACATTTCTCACCCCGTATTTAGAAAAAAAAACTTACTGATTTACAGCCAGATCTTAGGTATTAGAAACGAACCAAAATGTTTTTGTCTTTTTAAAGTTTGAATTGTTATGTCAAGGCCTCAGGGGAGCCTTATTAACAGACACGCACACCAGGGTTCAATTCAGGCTCTTTTGAGCCGGAGCAATATGGCCATCTCTTTCATAGAAACATGTATATGGATCTCGTTGGTTGTATACATATATTAGGCTTACCGTATGATACGTCCTTTTATCTATGTGCCAAGAGCAACTGCCAGTATAGTCTGCAGCAACTGTTGATAATGTAAAAGTGGCAGTGGCGATGAGGCTAGAAAAGGAGGTAGCGACGATTCTACCTAGGTAGAAGACGACGGACTAGGTAGCAATCGTCTTGCGGGTGTAGAAAATTGAGAGTATGGAGACAGCGCCCGGGTAGAAGGGTGCCTCGATAATGCCAAGGAAGTCGCAGGAAATGGCGAGGTGGGTATAGTTGGGCGACAAAGAAAGAACTGCAAACACAATTGAACACCCAACACAGCTACTACACTAATCAATGAGGATACCTTGTGTTCTTTCTGGGGCCACCAGCCTCTTATATTTCACCGAATATTAGCTACACCACGTACACGTACAAAACGCCTTGACGGATACGGAGAATTCCACGGCATTCACTTGAAACTGGGACTATAGCCAATAAATACGGATAAGTTCTCTTTCATCTTAGGGCCTAATTAGGGCTATATGTTAAGACAGTTGTGGAACAGCTCGATGTTGCCTTCGCTGTGTTCAGCCTGCCTTCTTGAATACGAATATTAGCGATCAATTTAAAAGAGCAATTCTGTCAATTCTTCCGTCATCAGTCGTGCTGGTTCTTTCACTCCTTCGACTGTATTCGTCGCACACAAAGCCACATAGAGTCAAGGCGCGGCTTTTGCAAAACTCTAAGCTGGTAAGCACTGCAGTTCAACCCATCGTAACCAGTATGGATTTAAGCTGACGTTAAACTGTCAAGAGTTTCATCGAGACTTACGTACTCCTCCAGATAACCGCTTTCATTCTCTGGGTTCGCTTCGATAAGGATAATCTTGCAATTTCTGCTGCAGCGGTGGTGGCCTTCAACGCATGCTTATTCTTTCCACTCTCCTGGCTTGAGCATATCCGATCCCGAAAACCGTCTACAGTCCTTCTCATGTACTTTGCATCATCGTTTCTCTTTGATGTTTTCCAGTTGCGAAGCCTATGGCTACTTTGATGGAGATATCATCAATGCGGTGGCAAGAATTGTTGACTTTGAACAAAAGAACTCCCCACGAACAAGACACAGATTCTGGATTAAGTCATATGGAAGAGCCAGTGTTAGGTCGGGTCGAGTATGAAAACTTGACAGCCTCATACGGGTAAGTCGAAGTTATATATCAACTCTATTTATGACTACTAACGTACTGTGTTAGACTAGATGATAGGAAAGTCGCACTTAGAGGCGTTAGTAATTGAAGCAGGGAATGTAGTCGGTATCTGTGGTCGCAGTGGAAGGTGAATAGAGTGAATACGGGTGTACCTTGTCAACCTGGTCGACATGCATTAACGATAGTACAGTGGGAAATCGTCTTTTATCGCTTCTCTTTTTTCTCATGATAGATACTCACGGAGGGAGGATTCTCATCGATTCGACGGACATTAACGATTACTGCTTATCTACACTCCGTCCGAGCATTAATGCGATTCCACAAGACCCGTTCTTTATTACCAGTACATTTCGCGAGAATCTTGATCCTCACAAAACATCATCAGACTTGGCAATTGAAGAAGCCTTGCAGAAAATGCAGCTCTTCAATCACGTTCAGTAGCAATGAGGCTCAGGTGGGAACATGAAGCCAGAGTCGCTCAGCCAAGGACAGAAGCAACTGTTCTCACTTGCTAGAGCTATAATACGGCCTTCTAGGATCGTTATACATGCCGAGGTCACCAGCAGGTATGCAACTACTTGGAGACAGTATACATCACTTTCGTGATGAAATTAGTGGATTGGATTTATTTTGCTAACCCAGCATGTTTGTATAACTTGGACCTTGAAACTGAAGACCTCCTATGGAGTGTGTTCAGGGGCCGCACCATTATCGCCATTGCTTGGATACGATTGTGGGATTTGATCGTGTTGCTGTCATGAATGAGGGAAGGATTATCGAATGCGATGATTCTTGTGTATTGTTGCATAACGGCAAATGAAGCTTTCAAGTGCGGGCAGCAATTAACGCCTTACATTGCTTTGTAACAAAAGCTAAGAATCCTGCTGGAGTTTGACAAGTTCAAGACCCCAATTTCTGCAAGGATTGCGCTAGCATCCGGAACATTTAGATGAATCTTAGAGCCATTTGTAACAAAGGCAGAAGCAGAGATGAATGAAATATCTGATAGACATTGGTGGAAAGGCATGAAGCAACTTCCCCCCAGCACAATCAACCAGAAAATTAGCACCTGTACCAGCACAAGTAGCTGTGTCCAGTCCTGCCATCCGAAGGCGTGTAACACTTTCCTCCTCCAGTGATGGCGTTGCCCGTCTCTCCAATCTGGCTCTGACAGTTGGAGTCGTAGTACAAGTGACAGTTGGTGCCGTAGGTCCCGTCGCCAACAGCCCTGATGCTGGCGATGGCGTCGGAGGAACTCCAGCACGTTCCGCTGCATCTCTGCAGCCCAGTTCTGAATCAGCAAACGACACATGAAGCAGGACATGACAGCCTGATCTGGAGACCAGCGTGGGAAAAACTTACACCAGGGCCGTTGGCACCGATCTGGTCGTTGCAGCCCGTGCCGCGGTAGAAACGGCCGCACTGGCCGTTGACGACGCCGGCGGCGGCGCAGGCGGCGCGGCGCTGGAGCTCGGTAGCTTCAAGGTTAATCACCTCGGGAGAGTAGTCCCTGGGAGGACCGAATGCAGCGGCAGCAGCGAGCTCAGCCGAGAGGAGGAGAACGAAGTTCTTGAGAAGCATCTTTTTGCAATGGGTTCCGCGAAGGTAAGTTGGGTATGCAGAATGGATGGTTTATTGGGGAGATGGCTGATGATGAGATGTCGAAGCTGATATGAGATACTGGGAGCAGACGGGCGACAGCCATGGTCTTTATACGCCAGGTTTTGATACCTCTTCTTCCCACCCCCCCTTCTTCTTCTCGCTTCTTAGTCTTAACTCGGTGAGATGCTCACACCCATAGGTTCCCTTCGTTGTTAGCATAACTACAAACCTGCTTCCACCTATCTGCCCACCATTGGCGACGTCCGAAACCATCTTGTTTGTTGAGATGCGTCCCCGCAATTCTTGAAGTCAATTCTCCCGCTTTATCACATGTAGGGTGCGTGCAGTTGCGATGTACTGCTGATAGAATATCGTCACCGTGCTTGTTTGATTCGTCGTATTCTGCATGTCTTGCAAAAGAACCTGTTGCCCTTAGCCTTGATGACCAAGCGGCTGTATAATTATAGAGGCGAGAAGTAATACACCCTCGTCTACCGGAGGACGGTGTCGAATTTGCCTCTCTCGCGGGGTAGTCCTTTTCCAACATATGGTCCCTGCGATAATAGTGTATAGTTAGCAACAACTACTGGTCGCCTGTGTAGTCGAACTTCATTCGTTGCTCACATATCAGCTAATGAACTTAGTGTTGCTGACACATCCCACATGTCAGCCGCACTGACAACTTTAGTTTCGAATGCAACACAACAGAACCAGAAGTTGTCATTGGGCCAAGAAACTGATTTTCGACAACATGTGTCCATCATATAGTGGTCGAAAAACGTGAGTGGCCAGACTGGTTGCAACTAGGGCCCGGCCCTTTCCCCTTTAATTGTTGCGATGAACTAGTTACTTGAAAACAGGTCTAACATTGTAACCTTTGGGGCTAACGGAAAGAGACGTATTATTTCTATTGAGTGCTTTGCCTAATGCGGTTAGACCCGCAGATCTGTACAACAGTGAGATTCGCAAGTTTCCATCTTGAGCATTTAACTGCTGCCTAGCTAGCATCACGAGGTATTTTGATAGCCTGCCCGTGCTTAAGACCCATGCATGTTGCTTAGCCTGAAATGAGGGGCTAACTAGACGCGCCGCCGGTTGTAATAGTAACCCTGTCTCTCATGCCTAGGCCAACAACTCAGTCGCCCCAGACAGACTGTGAGCCTGCTGATAGTCGAGCTGTCGTACGAGCGTCGCCGATGTCAGTCCTTCACGAGTTAGTGCGTACGCCAGAGACACAGAGCTGTTCGGGAGAGGCCGGTGTGTTTCAAAATGAGGCGACAGAAACATACAAGAGACAACCCAGGCTATGTGTAAGCAACGGTTTGCCGGCTTATACATTCTCAGGCGCATGTAAGGGGTGACTTATGCGGATTGGCAGATCTGATCCTGCTCGTATAGGGCCTTTTCTCTGACTGGAAATCCCAATCTATGTATATGAGTGTGTCAGTCTATAGACTATATCCACCCGTCCTCTTGCGTTGTAAATATGTGGAACAAACTCAACGGGCAAGATAATAACAAAGATCACCTGCTACTGCCTAATGCCTAAATGTAATACAAGACCTCTGGATAGGTTCTGCAGGTGATACATTGCACTGCAGCTTACATGCCTTGACGTTGCTTCAACTGCACGATGTGGGTTTAGTTACGTTGAACCCCAGCTGCCACGAACACTGTCTTGAATCTGTGGGGTTATTAGCTCTACAAGGGTCGCCGGCGGATCCACTTGTAGCTAGAAAAGAACTCTTTCGGCCTGAAGGGTAGGTAAGGTTTAGACGAATCATGGATCTATTAGTCTATTCACCTCACCGCCTATCTTGGCTTTGTGCAACAGCTGCTGACAATGCACGACAGGTGACCGAACCAACATGTATACTGTTCCAGGTTGATACACTGCACTGGATGGCGATTCATGATCCGTTTGGTAAATCTAGACTCAAATGCAACTCCTAGCACCCAGACGTGTGTGATGATGTCTAATGGGTTTCCCAGACACAAAAATTTATTCATCTGATTCATAGTATTGATCGAATGTGGCTTCCCTCTAGTAAGTCAAACTACCCACTTTCCGCCCACCCCTGCATTCCGCCCACCCAAAATCAAAGCCATCACAACCAACACCACTTTATTCAAATAACTATTAACTACCTCTTAAAGCTATAATAATACAGCTTTTAGCCTTACTAGGTAATTCTAATACGCTGGATTTAGCTATATTACTTTTAGCCTTACTAACCTTAATTTACGCCTTCTATATATCTCTAATTATTACAAATTTAATATTTAGATCTAGATAAATAGCCTTCTTTTTCCTTACTATACTGTTATTAATTTTAGCCTATAGAAGCTTTATTTAATAATAGGTAGTAGCTAATTAAAAGGACTACTACTAGAAGCCTTTTTTAACCTTTCTAAAGAGCTAGCGTTATGTAGTAATGTTTTACTTTAGTTAGCTAAATAGGTGTAATTAATCCTTAAGGTCTTTAACCTTCTTTAGCATAGACTACTTAATAGTAAATAAATATTCCTTAAAGTCCTAGCTAGTATAGGTATTATAAGCCCCTTTTACCCTCTTATTAATTAGTATTAATAGTATTAATAGTGTTAATATATCTAGTAATAAATAGGAGCTTATTAGAGGCTTAGTAATAGTAACTAGCTATAACCTAGTGTATTTCTAGCTACTTTTAATATTACTAGTAGTTAGCCTAGCCTAGTAAGCCTTATAGTAGTAAGATATAAATAACCTCTTACTAATAATAGTTAAATTATTTTACTATATAAGGTATTTAAGCTTCTTATAATAGGCTACTTTTATAAGACTAAAGACTACTTAATTAAGAGGCTAGAGGATATAAAAGGTATATAGTAATAAGAATAAGAAATAGATATTATTAGTATAGTATAACTATATAAACTTTATTATTATATAGCTTTTATACCTATTTAGGATAAGTAGTCTAGCCTTATAAAGTTAAGAAGGCTTAGTCTAAAAGAGAAAAACCCTCTATAGCTACTTAATAGTAGTATTATTAGTAGTCTACTTATTTTTTATTACTATAAATTTTTATCCCTTATATAAATTAAGATCTAAAAGGAACTACTACTACTAGACCCTTTTACCTTTATATATAACTAAAGGATAAATAGTATTACCTTTAGTAGATATACACTTAATAATAAATACTTAGGCTTATAATCTAAGCTGCTTTTTCCTTACTACCCTTATAGTAGCCCTACCTAGCACTAGGCTATTATCCCTCTTACCCTTAAGGATACTAGTCTTATTTATATTATATCTATTAGCTAGGTTAATAGTAGTAATATAAGGTATAGTAAGATATTTAAACTAATTTCTAATAACCTTAGTAGATACCCTATTAATATGCCTAGAATTAATAGAGCGACTTCTTTAGACCTTAATAGATAGATACCTTTATAAGAAGGTATTTACCTATTACCTTCCTAAAGGTTAGGTATCTCCTATAGCTTAGAGGATGCGCTAGGTGAAATCCCTTAGTTATTAATAGGTTAGAGGAAGCCTAAGATCGGCCTGATTTTGCACCTAACTGGCCAGGCTGGCCTCTTAGGCATAAGATAGTTACTAGAGGTCTTTAAAGGCAGCAGCCCTCTTTTAGGTGCTGTTCTTCTAGTCTTAAAGTGTTAATTATGGTATACCCTATCGCTTAGAGGTATTATAAAGAGATATACCCTTTGTAATAGTAGTAAGTGCCTAATTAATCTTAATTTTAGTATATTTAGTTATTAGGTAATAAGGAAGGTATTCTGAAAAAATAAAGTGATTTGGAGAAAAATGGAAAATGTTGTGGCACTTTGAAAATTGAGGCTATCTAGAAAGTGGGTGGCTGGGCGGCATTTTCTGGGTGGGCGGAATGCAGGGGTGGGCGGAAAGTGGGTAGTTTGACTTATATTTAAAGTAAATTCAACTGTTCAATGGTGGAGCCGATCTATGGTCATATGATTTACTATCACGTGACTTACCCTAGCGGCTTACTTACACTACTATAAATATCTATAGTAATAACTTCTTCTTTTTTTTCCTATTATCTATCTTAATAAGTAACTAGTAGTTAATTAAACTATTACTGCTTTATAATTATAATCCCTATAATACTAACACTAATTAGTAGTTAACTTTATAGTTACTACTACTATAGATTAATAAGGATTATTAGAAAAGGCTTATAATACTTTACTTACTATAGTAGCTTAGATTAAAGTATTAAAGTGCTATCTAGCCTAAAGATTATTAGTACCTAAGATCTTATAATACCTAGTAAATAACCTTTTAAGCCTTATGTCTATTATATAATAACTACTATTACTACTATTAACTTTATTACTTTTAGAGAAGTCTTTTTCTTTATATACTACTTACTTACTAATAACCTTTATAGTATTTAGTATAATTATTTTTTTTTTATACCTAAGTTTCTTTAAGTTTTTTTTCTTTTTATTTTTTAACCTTTTTTTTTTAATTATTAAGATTTTTATTTTACTAAGTTTTTATTTTACTATAGTAGTAACAGCCTATATAAGATTATAAGTAAATAGACTTCTATAAGTTCTTATCTAAATAAGATCTTACTAGTAAGACTAGCTATAAAGTAGTTAAGTAAGAACTACTTAAGTAATTTACTTTTAATATAGTATTTATAAGTAAATAGCTTTTACTAATTTTACCTTTATATACTTCTAATATTATATTATTAGCTAGGTGTAGCCTATAGTAATTATAACTTCTTTTTTTAACTAAATAATTAGTAGCTAAGTGTTACTTTTAGTAAGTATACCTCCTTTTATTCTTTAAGTAAGATAAAAAAAGTAGAAGTTATTTATATTATCTTAATTTACTTACTTTTTTTTATCTTTTAAATACCTATTAATAACTATACTATTTTTTTTATTTTCTTTTTTTCTTTAAGTAAGGTATAGTTATTAGTAACTAATATAACTTT